ATATATATATATATATATTCTCACGGTTTACCATCGAGAAACTAGTTTTAGGGCCTTTGGTGTCGAGGTGAAGTGAGAGTCTTTATTATCTCGTACTTTTAAAACAAAAAAATGACTACAAATGATCCACAGCCGCTCTCTTCCATTACAGTTAGGCTGCCAGGTGTGAATATATCATTTCTTTGCAGATAAAAACTGGCAAGAACTACAGTATATTTGTAAGTGAGCTAGCCAGAACACCATTTATCTCTCTGACAAAGTAATGGTTGTTTTTCTGTTGAGGAAAGTGAAAAAAACTTTCCCATCCAGACCACCAACCACTCAGTATAAACAAACACTGTTTTCTGACTGTGTTCCATCTAATGTGAGACTCCAGCCTGACATTCTCACAGCGGGCCCAATCACACATAGGTAATTATATGATAGAGGAGGGAAGGGAGAAACAGAGTTAGGCAGAACAAGAGGAGGAAAGAACAGGATATTAACAAGACTATTCAGCAGTTTTCTCCGTGAGCAGTCTTATTTGTTCTCACACTTTCCTTCACACACCTTATTTGTTAATTTGCTTTTTTTCCTTGAGACACATCTCTCGCCCTCTTTCTATCCTACTCATCTCAAATCTGTGATGCATTTTTTGTTTAAGGTTCCTGTGACACACACTCAATCACCAATTGTACTGTGCAAAACTCTATGCATTCTGCTCAACAAGAAACAGACACTGGGTGGAGAGTCACTTTAGGCTGGTTGAAGAGTTGAAGAAGCGTATGGAGCTGAATAACACTATGACCACCAGGGTACATAATATTATGGCTGATCGGTGTATATCTGTAGTACTCTTCATGATAAGTAAAATCAGTGACCTTTTCAAAAGGGGGAATATGTAAGGATTTTAGTTTAAAACATTCAAAAAGTAATGAAAATGATCAACAGAATGGTAAAATGGGTAACAGTGTGCAACCTGTAATACAATATACTACACACAATACTTTTTTAACTGTTAGGGCACAGAACTGTTTGCCTTTATACAATCACG